TTTGGCACTTCTCAGAGCAGGATAATCCACAACAGATTGCTCTAAAAGGTTGTAAAGTTGGTTGATAAAATTGGTCTGAAAGCAGTAATTCATCTCTTCCTCATTGTCAGCCAGCTGAAAGGCAGATTCTGTAGGTAAGGCTGAGCACCATAAACTCTGCATAGATATCTTCTGTAACTTGGAGCATGTCGGGAGTTTACAGTGAGTTTCCAGCTCAAGTATTTTAAATCTTAAAACATTGTGTTTTAATAAATGCTGCTTTTGCTTTATCTTTATTATAAATTAATTACAGCTTTCTCAGCGGTCAGATTCATGAATCTCTCTCCTGTGATGGTTGGTGTACTTTGGCTTGTCTTCGTATGAGACCGAATTGTTAATGCTATCTTTATAATGTCTGCTTATACGGGATATTCCAGATGCATAGAATTCAAAGATAATTTTGGGTAACTGAACCGTTACTGAAAATGATGGATAGCACTGCTGCTTTGTGGCAGCTCCTATGGCTAGACGACTGCAGAGTTTAGGGACGTTAAAACTTTAACTATTCAAGTGCCTGGCTTGCATGCTTGTCCTATAGCAGGTGTTTTACTGTTCTGCTTGGTGAGCAATAATCGCTTGCCATTCATTTAGCTGGTGGCAAGTTTGCTCTCTTCTGAAACATTAGGAGCTGCATGCATTCATTCATGTACAAAGGAGGCTCAGAAATGGCGTGAAGAGAGGACTGTCTTCTTTCTTTAAGTGCTTGAGGACTGCTGTAAAGATTCCATTACTATCTGTAATCGTATGTCCAGAGGCACTCCAGAAGGTTAGTTCTGTTAGTTCCTTCTGTTTTGCTCTGCTAAATGAAAGCTTAATCTGGGAGGAAGAGAGTGGGCAGTGTCACGGTGGCTAAGTTCCATTATGGCATTGATGATGTTCTGTGTGATTGACAGCTTATTGGCAAGAAAAAAGGTGACAGAATGAAGAGTAATGATCCTATCTGACTTTCTCATTTTCCAGACTGAGAATTACTATTGGCAGCATTTTTCTTATGCAAAAGATAAAGGTCTTGTGCATTTAAAAATAATAATAATAAAAAGCCAGAGGCTGAATGTACACACTTGAAAATTATTATCTGGCATGTTTATTCTTTTAAAAATATTTTCTGCCGTAATTTAGCAGATTATTTAGTGACATTAAGAAACATAATCCCCAAATATAAATCTATCTGCAAGCAACGTGATGTTAGAATATATATATATATTTTTTGCTAAATTGTGTCCAAGAACAGACGAATTGCAGCAGCAGTCTCTCCAAGTTCTAACGCTTATGGGGAAAGGAATATGTGAACATAAATGGAAACTACTGAAGCCCATGCAACAATGCTGGGTTTCCAAAGCACTCCCTCTGACCCCTTTTAATACTTTCTTTCCATCATTTTCATGAGTATGGTACTGGCAGCACTCATAGAAAGAATTGCTTCATTTGGGATCTGGTAGCTGCCCTTCTTCTTCTTTATGATTTTTGTTTAGTGCATAAAATAATTGTAATGATAAAAGTAATCCTTACAGTAGACTCATCTACAGGATAAGGTGTACAGTCTGAAAAAAGAAAAGAAAAAAGAAAACAGAATAATTCACTGTGTGGGCCCAGTAGGCTGTAATAGGATTTAACAGTTTCCTCTGTTGGATTCTTTAAGGCTGCCCCTTCTGTTTTGACTACATAAACTCCTTGTTTAAAGTTGTATAGGTTCAGCAAATTTCTTGTTGCTGCCTCCATAAAATAAACAAAACTGAGAACAGACAATAGAACATCTCACAGGGAATTTACTGGGGAGCGCATTCCCATATCTGCAGGGAATCCTGTGCCTGTCTGTTCTGCCTGTGTACAAACGGAGAGCGAAATCCTGTTGGCAAGCATCGGGCCTCCCTTTTTGTATTGGTCCCAACTGTTATTTTGTTCTCCTTCCAGATAATTAGCTGCTCAGGTTTCACAGCATCAGCTCTCAGAACTTTCTGCTTCGTGATGCTTCATTGTCAGATCTGGTCAGCAGCTTCGGAGCGCTCTGATGTGCAGAGCATGGGCTGGAATGATAGCTTCTGGGTTAACCTTCATGATGGTTTGAACAGGAAGGCAACCTCCTCCTCCTCCTTAGGTCATCTGCTTTTGGAAGCATCATTCTTCGGGAATTAAGCATTACGCATTAAAAAAAAAAAATCTTTCTCCTTTAGGATCAAAGTAGAACGGAATGGGTTGTACCAGAGTCTGTGTGTGTTAAATGCAGAGCACTGAAAGAGATCTTTTATCCGCCGCCTCGTGATTCCTGGAAATGGACAAGAAGCTTCATTCAGTTATTTTGAAACCAGATGTAGAGTTCCCACTCAGGTTAATTGCTGAGAAAGATCCATCAGTGATTGTTGTGTGCTGTGCTGAACGGCCCCAAACCGATGCTGTTCTCTACCACAGTGCTTTGTGTGACTCAGTTTCCCCTCCAACCTGATTCTCTGAATCCTTACCACTTGGTAACAGCTCATTTCCAAGTGCAGAGCAACTGATGGACAAGTTGGCTGTTGCTGTGACTGGTTACTAAGATTTTCCTTGTGTCTGTGGTGTCTGGTTTTGCCTTTGTGCTGTATAGCCAGGAAAAGAAGTGTCAGTAAAATGGTATGTTTAGTTAGTGGCTCCTCCCAGACAACCGTATAGTGGATTTTTCCTCTCAATAACTTAACCTCTCTTAGTTAATAGGATAATGCTGAGAGAGGACCTGGTGTTTGTTGTAGGCGTGAATTTGGAGGGAAGAAAGAATTGTGGATTTAATCTGTGAACTTGAACGTATATTGATGCATTGAGGAGAGGGGTAAATCTATGCTGGTGGTTTATAGTAAAGTGTTTCCTCATTCACGATGGCTTTAAATAAGGTGTGTGCCATTTGGCTTCATCTCCAGAGTTTGAATGTTCTCTTAATGAAAATGAATGTTCTCTTAAAAAAAAAAAAAAAACCCAAACCAAACTTCCTTATTTTTAGTGCTAAGTGCTAAGATTTTTTTTTTTTAAATCAGAGCTCAATATGAGCCAAGGCTTAGGGAGTTGATAAATGGAACTTTATTGAATTTATCTCTACAGCTGCAATTAATTATTCAGTGTTCATTAAAAACGAGCTTTGGTGAGTGAAATTTTAAAAAGGTACTCGCGAATGTTTGGGGGAAAGATGGTGTTAATAACATCCAGTAGGAAGTATAAAATTTGTGGCCGTTTAAGCTGGCCTGTAAAAACTTCATCCATTTGGACAACTTGGGAGATGAAAAACGAACACGTGGCTGCTGGGTTGGGGCAGCTGCCAGCGCTGCTGCGTGTTGATCAAGTAGTTGGTGGGTGTTTGGCCTTAAAACTGGGGGAAATACAAGTTGCCTTTTTATTTAAGTAGGAGAATGAGGTGTCTGGTAATGTGCATAGTTTCTCTTAATGAAAGATCATGTTGAAAAGGTGACTGTGAAAGTGTCCTAAACCTTTATGCTCCAGATTGCAACTAAAACAAACCCAAAAATCCCAACCCGTTTATTGCTTAACAGAACTTGAACTTTGCATGGACATGAGAAGCCATAGCACACAGTGTACTTGTCCATGATTAGACAAACATCTTCCAGAGCTTCACGAGCTTTGCAGTCCAACAGATCATTGGCAGTCCTCAAGGAATCCCATTTGTTACTAGCAACAATTCCAGTTGCTGGAATGGGGGAGCGGGGCATTAGGCCCTTGGATTTTTGTTTCCAAAAAACCTCCATATCAGCCGCTTCAGCGGAGCCAAAGTTGAGATCCATTTATTGTTTGCTCTTAGGACAGTTTCTTATCTTTTCATTAGATCTTAACGATGGATTTTGTAGCACTTAAAGTCTTGTGAGCACACATGAATATTCATGCAAGCGGGCGCTGTTACAGCTGAAATAAACAGAGTTGCTGTCATCACATTTGTTTAGTTTGTTTGTCTTTCATATTTCTTTTCAACAATTAGCCAAGGAATACAGTTAGGAAAAATAAATGGCCATCAGTTATGCTTGAGATGTTGGACAAGTAAAAACAATAGCAGACTGTTTACTGTGTGGAGCGAAGAGAAAGAAGAAAGCCTTCTCTGTCACTAAAACACAAACGTCTCTTCGGAGTTCTCTCTCTCCCCTTCAGTTCACCATGACCAAAAGCAGCTCCGACATCAAAACGATGTCTTGCTCAGCAGAAAGAGAAATAGTGTGGGAATAATGGTGGTAATCTCAGAAATAAAATTAAATAGTAAACTGTGTGTCGAAGACATTTACTTACTGTGTATTTACTTCTGTATTGTATTGCAGACTTAGTGTTGTTTTTCTTTAATGAGTGTTTCTCATTGCTGGTTTCTCCGTGCTCCGTCCACTAACTGCTTTTCTGTTGTTTTAGATTAATACAAGAAACAGCTTAGTCTTGTTGTTATTTAATATTCTATTCTGATGCCCTCAGTGCTGCTCTCACCTCCGCGCCCCTCAGAGCCCCCAGCCCTGGCCAACAATATGTACTTTAAACTAAGTTCCATATCTGATTCTGCTGTCAATATTTCCACGTTCTTTTTCTGGGGATTGTCCTACTAGCAAAGCTGCTTTACCATGTGAGTTGGCTGTAGGAACTCTAAAAATGCTCACTTCTAGGCTTCTCAAAGCAAGAATTCGGTGACTCTCTGGAGCTGTGGTTTGCTCCTGTGTGTCTTGAGTTGATGGATTCTTTATCACTTTTCCAGGGGTTGTGGACTTTTGTATAACTCTACTGGAGCCATGTGTCCTTTGGAAGAGTTATGAGTGCTTAAAGTGATACAGATGTCAAGTGCAATGGATTACCAGCTTTAGCATTTGATACGTAACCGTGATGTGGGGGGAAAAAAGGGACTGCCTCTAAGCCTTGTTCTTTAAGTAGGCTATTTGAACAATGAGATTGTGTTAATGTATTATTTCAAAGGTTTTCTCTTTTACATTCCCTTTTCCTCTCCGACTTTTGTCTTGTAGTGTTGTTCCCCAGACCACAGTAATACTGAACAACGACCGACAGAATTCAATTGTAGCCAAGATGGTTGGGCAGGAAGAGCCACTGAGCAGAGCAGCGGATTCTCTGGAAAATATCCTTAGCAAGTTAGTAGCAGTTCTGGGAATCCTCCCCCTTCCCTCCCTCCTTTGGGAAATCAGCAGCAGTCTGCAGCAATTCCCAGTGAAAGTGAGGAATGTTTTAGGTGGGGGGGGAAAAGGTAAAATAAATGCAAGTGCTAAATGAATGCATCAGTCCTGCCTGGAGAAAGCCTGCATTTGAAGATACAGAGCACTGCTTTGCTGCTGGTGTGCAGAGGACATCTTAGAGGATCTGGGATGAGCTCAGTGTTCGTTGAGAGATGACAACTGAAAGAGTTCCCATAGCTACGTATTTTTTTACATGGATACATAATTGCTTGGGAGCGTGCCAATATCCTGTATTTAATCAACTGAATAAAGAATACAGCAGCCCAGCAAGGCTGTTAAACTTTGTACTATCGAGAGCATAGTTAAGATTAAGTGGAGTTGGAGGTTGTGGTTAGAAAATGTTCTTAATACGTTTGTATAAACTATTGTACTGAAACTTCGTTTATTCTGCTGTTTTCGTACCTTTTTATTTTGCTGGATAGCCATTCGTTATAAACATCAGATTCTTAGAGCAGTTTTCAGTTAGTGTTTTTAATTCCCTTATTGTGATGTTTCTCCTGATCAGGGATTGTGTTTCCCCAAAGTTACATCCTTCTCTTTTCCATAGTGCTGTTCCTGGACGTAGGCAGAACACCATAGTGGTGAAGGTTCCAGGGCACGACGACAGTCACAACGAAGATGGAGAGAGTGGCTCTGAGGCCAGTGACTCAGTTTCCAACAGTGGACAATTAGGAAGCCAAAGTATTGGGAACAATGTCACCCTTATTACGCTGAACTCTGAAGGTATGTTGGTCTAAGACTACATGAAAAAAGTAAATGGGAGGGTGGAATGAACCCAAATTCAGCTGGAAGCTTCTGTACAGCAAGCATCGCATAGGAATGAATAATAAGCTGGGTGAATATATAATCTATACAGGCTTTACAGACAGAGCAGCTAACTAGAATTGCCTGTAAAATTTAAAACGTATGCCCCCTTACAGCAGTGCAACCTTCAGGATTTTCTATCACTGGGTTGTTTCAGGACAACAAATGCCATCTCTGGGAAATAGAATCTACTGGTCCATCTCAACTTGTTGTACCAACCCACTCCTTTTGTTCTCACAAATGAAAAGTATTTTAGCAACTCTTAACAGCTTTGTAAGTAAATTCATATGAAAGACACTATTAGCAGAATAGTGGATTGTGTCAGATTCTTCTGAAACAGATTTTTTTTTAGATACATCACATTTAAAGTCCAAGAATTTTAGATTAGCCTTATAAAGGTGCTCTATTTTACATGATTGGAAGTATTAAAACATGGAGTGTAAGTTGGCAATTTCAGTCACAAACAAGGTGGGATAAGGGGCACTGAATTTTGTATGGAAATAACTTGTGATCAATTCTGTTATCTGTTGAACTTGAAAAGTTGATCTACTGAAAGTCTCATGCACCAAAGATTGTTTCTAAAAATATTATTTTGAAGCTTTTGAACCTGAGATTCTTTAATTTTTCTGGGTACCCATACAGTGTTTCATAAAGATTCTTGGAGATCTGTCCTATGTGTATGTTGTGTTAATGAGCTGCTCCTGAGGAACACTTCATTCTGGTCAATGGAGAATAAAAGGGCACTTAGCTATCTCAGGAATCCCTCTCAAAAAATGTTCAGATTGCAGATAGTGCTGTAATTTCCATATGAAAATGCAAGTAGGAATGGGCTAGAAAATGAATTTTAAATCTACATAAAGTAATTGTACTAGTTGTATAAGTTTCTTGTTGAACTCTTTCCTGGTTAACTTCATCTTCATTCCTTTTTGGCTTCCACGTGAGGAAATTTATTCTGTGCTTTCTGGAATAGATGAATTTAGTGTAAGATCTCTGCTTCCTTGGATTAGGGAATATCTGGAAGTCTTCTGTGCTCAAGTTTTGATCAATGTCTGATGACAAGGAAATCCTCAAATGTCCAGTTTTACAAGCTGTGTTCTAGTTAACTATTTCTTCCAGATTGGTGAAACCAGTGGGAGGAAGGTCTGAGTCTCATTAGTCAACCGAAAGCAGCAAGCAGAAGGCATCCCTGATAATAGCTTTGGCTCTGACTAACTTAATGATGCAAGGAATAAAGAGAAATCCTGAGCTGTGGAATGTAAAGCCAGAACTCCCTGGCTATAGGAGCTGGCTGAATGCAAGGTATGCTCACTGAGGTCTTTGGAAACAGCCTGTAGCTGTTTTCCATGTTGGAGTGCCAGTAAGAAGACCAGTAAAACACATTATATGCTGCTTTGGTGGAAAGCAGGGGGAAGGATGAAAAAGGAGGTTGTCAAATTTCATTTATTTATTCAGTTTTAATATGGCTGATAGGAGGATGAATGGCACAAATAGAAGTGATAAAATTATTATAGTGCAGATGCTGCTCAGGGTGATGCAAATTATTACCCTGTATTGTTTCAATGGAAATTGAAGTAAGTATTTTTAAAGATGGTTTGGTTGTTTGTTTTTTTTTCTGCCCCGAAAACTTTGTGGAATTTCTATGAAAGCAGGTATACTTTGGGCATTCATGAGCACAGTCTGGTATGCACAACGTCATCAGAAAAGGCTGCAGTGTATAACAGTATACAGTGTATGTATCACTCAGTATTTATAACAGAAACTCTTCTCTGAGCTTTCATTGCAGAGCTTTAAAGCTGCATGAGCTAGAAAACCTTATGCTACCAGAGAGGGAAAATCCTTTGCATGCTTACACTTAGCATGTGTTGGCCCAGATTTTAAGTCAGGAAAGACTGAGAAATCTTCAGATAATCTTAAATGTCCCAAGTGAAAATGGGATGTTGCTGCACTGGCAGGGCTGGTGTATGAAGCATGCCCTTTGTGGGGTCTGTTCACATTTCATACAGCTCTGCATTCCCTATGTCAGAGCAAAGTTTCTAGCATTAGGAAGGAGGTTGTTGTCTTATGCCCTTTTTGCCTTGGTGGTTTTAGCACGGATTTGCACAGACAAATGTGATGTTGGCCTTTTACACAGCTGTATATGTAAATTGTGAAGAAATGGCTAATCCATTAACGTCCTCAGATCTGAAGAAAATCAGACCTTTAGAACAGTCATCCATTAAAAATCTCCTGGAGATTGATGAATGCTTGGAGAGATCAGATTAGTAATCCCCATGCTTACCTCTTGCCCTCGTGGAGATGAGAGAGGACCACTCACACAGCAGGAATGCTAAGCAGCATAGCCTGCAGTATGTCACAAATTAAATTATTAAAAAAGGAAGCAACGAAGAGTAACAGCTCTGCTCTGCAGGCTTGTTTTCTTCAGCAGTAAAAGGCAAAAGTTACAGTGCCCATCAGCTTGCTTTCATTGTCTGGGGCAGAATTCAGAATGGCTTTGTGTTGCTTCAGAGGAGTCTGGGTTCATCCTGAGATATGAGGGGACAAGAAAGGCAAATTTTAGACCTTTTTCAGCATGCCTGCCATTTGTTGCCTTCTGTTTAGGAAGCAAAACACATCTGTGTTCGTGGTGTGCCTTCAGCTGACGTTGAGCATGGCCTTGACCTGTGGGAATTTTCAGAATGCAATTCATAGATGCATTGTTTGCTCTCTGCTGGCTGTTTCCAAAAGACATTTAATCCCATGTGATAGTTTAGAAAACATTCATTTTTATTATGTATTTTCCTGAGGGACTCTGTGCTTTTTCTTTAATCTGGAAGAAAACTGTGTTTAAGCATTTTGGGGAATTTTCTTCTTTGCTGTCCTAGTTTTTTTTGTTCTCAGTGTGGATTAAGCATCTTTTTCATTGAATGGAATAAGGAAGGAACGTTTATCACTAGGATATGTTTAAAGTGGCTGTCATCAGTTGATGGATATCCTTTTTGCTTTTTTATAAGTCTGGTTAATTTTGACGTGGATGTGTTTTTATGGTAGGTCTTGAATACAGCATATTCCCAGTTTGAACGAAGTAGTGCTTTTTGTATCTTGAGCTTTTTAATGAGGCTTCAAGCCAATGAGCAGCTGGTGAATGAAGGATGTTTTTAAATTGTTGCCATCAGTAGATCTTCAGGAACTGCTCCAGAAATGGTTTGTCAGTATTAAGGGACGTGGTTTAGTGGGGAACTACTGGTGGTGGGTGGGTGGGTGGACTTGGATGATCTTGGAGGTCTTTTCCAACCTCAGTGATCTGTGATTTATAGTTGTGAACGTTTAGCTGTGTGTGCCGATAGCTTATCATCCATTTAACTGTGATCAGAAGGTGTGCTGAGCTGTGTGACTTCAGGCACAGGCACCCTCCAACTTTGTACAGTTCACTTATGATAAGGAAGCAGAGGAAGAGACCTCCTTAATTCCGTCGATGCAGTTTTGGAGGTGGAAGGGCTCCTCCAGCATCACTCTTTATGAAAACTTGGGTCCTAATATCATGACATTGTTTTGGATTTTGTCTTCCCCTGCAGAAACTGAGAAGAACATAAGATCCACACTAGTTTTAAATTACAGAAGTTTTAAACCTACGGTATGAGGTACCTATATTATTTTCTGGTTTTAATGAGTTCTCTGGTGCTGGTATGTGGCACTAATCCTGCCAAGGGTTGGTTTTCAGTTGACTGAGCTGTAACCTGGCAGCCCTGCGCGCTTTCATTCTCACCACAAATCTGTTAAACAATATTCTGACGTTCTCAAATGTGTTTGTCTAAACTTTTTCACTGCAGGGAGTTCATGTTAGATGAGGAAAAGCAAGTCTGAGTAACCAGGAGCGATTAAGCTTTGTTAAGAATGGTGAATAGACTTTCAAATGATCAACGCTTAAAAAGGAGGCTTTCATGTTCTTAATAGATAACATCTGAGATGAAAATAACACTGGTCCGGGTTCCTTCCCATCCTATTCACTCTCTGACCTTCTACTGCAAGAGCTGTTACAAATACAGCCTTCCAAACCTGTCACTGCAACCCCAACACAGCACCCTATGAGGACCTCATCTTTTGCCATCTCTGCTCCTCAGAGTAACTCTCATTTCCTCAGTAGTCGATGATGGGTTTCCTTACATTCCTTACATTACAAAATTCTGGGTTGTATTTATTCTGCACTTCCACAGTACTTTCCTCAGTGCTGATTAGAGATCATTGTGTGGTTGGGTTTATAGGAGGCAGTCCACCAGCCATGCCTATTCCTCACCTGCTCTTCAAAGTTTCCCTTTAGAGCACAGATACAAACAGAACTTGCTGGGTTTTTCTTGCTGCTTATGCACAGAAAAAGTACAAACTTGAAGAGCCAATTGAATTTAGCAGCCAAGCTCAGATGCTGAATACTTCTGGTAATAAGCTATCTGAAGGCACTCTGATTATTCTCTACTTACACACCTATCCCTAGGAGTACTTTGATCAGCACCACACATTGCTTTCAAGGTAAAAGAGATTTCAGGATATAAGGAAGAGAATATTGTAAGAGTATTTTTCTTTTATATATTCAGTATGTGGTAATATTTAAAGCTTCTGTTCTGTGACCTACTGTACAGACTAGAGGAGCATCTGTTCCAGAAACATTAATTCACATTGTTATCCTTTTAAATCTGCTTCTTGGACAATAGAGTTACTGTCCTATTTTTAATATGGAAGGAAGGAAAGCCGGACCTCTCATCTTTGTGTTATAAGAATACCCCATTCAGCATTGCTGTGCTGCCTTAAAAGCAGATCTTATTTGAAATGTCTAAGCTAAAGCCAAGGCTTTGAAATTGCTAAGAAAGAAGCACGCTGGCTGAGTATGTGAAATGCTTGAAGAGAGCCCCTTGAAGACTATTTTTAAGTGATATAAATAAAACAGCAAG